ATTATATGAATTACTTTGGGTAACGCTGCTGGGGTGTTTAAATAATGTTTATATAAAAATTTATATTTATATAAAAATGCAGTCCATTGTAAGTTTTCCGTTACAAAAAATTAAACTACAATATTTGTCAATTACTTAAAATATAAATACGTTCAAAACACCAAATAATATTTTGGCACAAAATACCAATTGAAACTGTTAGATTGGTGTAAATTGTATGGCTCTTTGTAAAGCAAGCTTAAAATCTCGTAGTTTAATACAGGTAACCCATTCTTACCCATTTTGTGACTAAAATTTCTATCAAATCGGGAAATTCTTCTATATAATTATATACCAAATTTTTGCAGCGATAATCTCAAAATAAAACTTTAAAGGTCCTCTTTGCAATTCAGTGCTAAAGTTGTCATCATAAAATGCCATCTGCTGGTATCGCACTGCTAAGATTTTGGCTAAATTTTTAAAGTTTTTATTAAACTTGGCATCATGGACATGGTTTACTCTCCGAAAAAACATCTAAAAATTAAAAAAAAAAAACGATTTACTTATTATATACATTAAACTGAGCTATTGTAAGAACTGTACTTGAAATTTGTCTATACAATAAACAAAACGCGATTTTCACGCAATTTTTAACATTATAAACCATGCTTTGAAATTGACTTACCTTTAGTTAATAATTATAAACCACAACTAAACAAGTTTGCGTTTTTGTCAACTGAACACCCCCTGATTGCATATTTACACTAATGTGCACTTCCAGAACTTGGCTAGTTTTAAATGTATATTTAAGTGTAAAGTTAGATTTATGTGGAACACTACTAGGGTTGCCACCTTTTTTTTTTGCAGTTAAAGTACATTGGTTATTATATGTAAGAAAAAAAAAGTACATAGTATCAAAATAAAGTACAATTTATTTTTTTTTAAATTTAAAAACATACCTATTTTTTATTTCTTTTTTGCGGTTTAAACATATTTTTGGTGTAACATATTCACTATCTATTTGATGTGTTTCACTATCGAAATTACGTTTTGTAGGTGTACTTATGTGTAGTATCCATGATTTACTTATAGTATAGTAAATTACTATACCTAGCATAAATCTATAAAACTATAAATCGTATTCTTATTGCACTTAAACCGCTTCGCACAAATTAAACAAGAAATTGTGACTTCTTCTTCTTTCAACTAGGGCGGATTTATGGCTTAACCACGGTGGTTAAACCACCGCCCTTATGGTCCTGGACAAACGTCTTTATTAACCAGATTAACACAATGCGTCTGTGGCGCTGGCGAGTGGCGACATCGATAAATTTCGTTTAACGAAAAAATACTTACGACTAAACTTTTCAAAATCCCAAAGAAATCAAAGCATGCGAAATAAAGTATTTTTGTGTACTTTATTGTTCTCATAAAGTATAGAGTACAATTACCTAAAATAACGTACAATACTTTATTATAAAGTACGGGTGGCAACCCTAAACACTACTATCATTCCATCGCACTTGGACAAAAAAATATATTTTAGGATTAAAAATAGTGTGATGTATTACACAAACTTTTTCACTTAACAACTTTCACCTGGGAGAACACTAAAATATTTTTTTACTGTGTAGGTAAATATGTATGGGTATACAATTTTCACAAATTTATATTTTTCCAAAAGTAGGTATATTATTTTAAAAGAAGACCTTAAATTCTAAAAGCGATTTTATTGTTACTCAATATTGTAAATATTTATAGCTATTATATTCAAAAACATTGCATGATTCCAGGGCAGTTTAGAACACCTAGACACCCTGTATAGTTATTTTTTGTTCCCAGCCAAATATAGTATGTGAGTATTATCATCTATTTTTCATTTTCTCTTTCTGTAACTGCGAAACCCTTTCGATCATTTCGTAGATGTTGTCGACACCAGAAAGGTTCGGCGTCGTATGTACACGTGTTTTCCACTTAAAAAACTTAACGTATGAGCGCTTTAAAGCGTCCATCGACAGATTTATGTCGCTTGGCAGCCACGCTGAAAAGCAACTATTAGTCGTTGCGTTCGAAAAGTGTTGATCGATGTACTTTTGAGGAAAAAACTCTTAACCTGAAGAGATAAGGAAGGATTAAATTTATTGGGTGTCATCTAGGAAGAAGGGAAATAGGTTTTCTGTGGGAAATATTCAAATTTTATGCCTCCATATAGTTTTTTCTTGTCTTTGGTGACGACAGGATCTTTGTGCATTTGATTGAAACGGATGTAATATGAGATATATTCATTTATTAGACGGAAGAATTGATTTACATTATTTACAAGTTAAAATTGTCTAATCATTAATCAATTCCATAGAAAAGCCACAATACATATACAATAGTATACCTTTGTATATTGAATGGGCATTTAAAAATTATATATAGATAACGATCTTCTACATAATGAACATAGGTAAAACGCATTAAGTTGGCTACCGAACTAATGAATTTGGTAATAAACAAAACCGTAAAACAATATATCAATAAATCTGAATGCCTCCATCCAATTTTAAACAATGCGTTTAAAAAACACTCACTCAAGTATGAACTCGATCGGGGCCTTTCTAATTTCCAATTCAATGAATAATTTGCCAACTTAGTTGACCCTTGCAGTGTATAAAACAAAACAAAAAATATTTTGAATAATAAAACCATTGTTTAAGGTTAGCGTACGCACGTTTATGTTTATTGAAAACCATTACAAGGTGTTATGCCCCTCGCTCTGAGCGCTTATAAGCGTTATTAGGGTTTGGATGGTGTAGTTGCACACAGCTTGGCGATTTCGATGCAAATTGCGATAATTTTGCGCGTCGATGAAGAAGAAATGTTGAGGTCACAAGACGCTGGCAGGTATTAAAACTTCTGGAAAAACTGAGCTAGCGAAAAATAACAGTTTCTTTCCGTAAAAAGCGGAAAAAGGGAAATTTTCCAAAAATTGACTCTTGCTTCTTTTCCTTATAATTCGTAGCTCGAATTTGATTTTTTTTAATTTTCCGAATTTTCATAAAAACGACTTTTTATTCTAGAAGTCTAATGCAAAAATATTAATGATGCAAACTCTAAATATTAACAATGGTGTCAACTTTTAAGTGCACTTATCAGAATTAAATTATCGTGCCAATTATTTTTATTTAGGATTGAAATAAGTATACTTTATATTATATTTATAAATAACAAAGCCGGGGTAAAAGTAAATTTGGGTAAAAAAAAAGTTATACACTGAAATAAATGTTTCTATAAACCAGTATTGTTAAGACGAGTTTCATAAGACAATAAGAGGATGCTTATATAGTTATAACTATAGTTAGAATCATATTCCTTTATGAAGACAATAAGCTGTGTAGTGACTGTTATAATTTTGATTTTATTCCAGTTGTTTAATACTGGCTATAATCTAAATGCATATTGTTTATGAAATATTTTCTTGCAGATTTCATTTATTAAAATTAAAATTCATAATTTTTTTATAAGAACTATAATATGTCTTATACTGTTTAATAGTCGTCTTTATACTCTATGGTACAAGCTATTACACAAATGCGCATGGTGCATTGTTTTGGAGGGATCACTATAGGAGAGATGCGATCTGACCGCAAGGAATAAGTCTGTGAAGGTAAAGTTTTGTTTATTTGTTGAGACATCTGCTGGCTCAATTGTTAAGCGTAAGTTTTTGTAATAGTTATACATCATGATACAAGCATAAGCCATAGTTTAATAAAGGTATACCTTGATCTTGGAAGAGCACAATGAGCTGAGCACGTGGACACAGATGCAGGTACATGAAAACTGTTTTTATTGTTTCCCATTATAATAATTTATTAATTTTACATTATAAAATATACGTAAATATACAGGGTAAACTACGTAAGGTGACCCATATACTTATAAGTATAATATATTATACTTATTAAATGGGCCACCTTACGTGGTTTACAAGGATAGGAAAATCAGAAGTATTAGATTTTCCCTCAGTGTAGTAATGAAAGAAAACCGTAATTGTATTTAATGACATGAAATTACATCATTCAACGATCTTACAATAATATATTATTGTTTCTAATATATTAGAAATATTAGAAATATTCCCCAACACCAAAACAAAGTACTTTTCGCCAACGATGTTGGCATCTTCAGAAGCGAAGTGCTAAATGTATAAAAATGATAATAATTTTTAAATTTCCTGCAACATTTGACACATATGACGAACATGAGGTTTCGTTATATTAGCGTCCTGACCTTTTCGACCATATATTTTAAATGAATGTCAAACAGTCTTGAATATAGTTTAAATTCGGCTTTAAGCCGGGTCTACAATTTTCGCAGGTCGCAGATCGCAGAACATAAGCTTGCGCAAAGTACCCCTGCGAGAATTGTAGACCCGGCTTTAGACACAGATGTCAGATAAAATATTAAATAAAATTGGCTTTAAATTCCTTGCGGTAGTTGAATAAAATATTGTGTGCGTTTATTGGTTCAAAGAGGAGATTCCACGCTCCAGAAATATCCTCTTTCTCCCACTAGTCGCACAATCATGTGCGCCGGATGGGGCAAAAGGGGGCAGTTGCCCCCTCCTGTAAAATTATATTACTAATTAAAGATACTTTAAATTGCGCCCATGCACACAATACATTATTTAATTTTTTTTAACATGTTTCACATTTTTGCTCTAATCACCCTTATGTAGTAATTTTTCCTGATTTTATTATTTATTAGTTAAGTGATTTTTATTTTCATATTTACAAATTTGTACCATTTTGAACAATTTAAATTTTACCTCTTGCTCATAAAACCAATGGCTGATAACAGAAAAGTCAAAATCTCCCTGGTTATCGACACACATATTTCGTGGTACCTACATTTTTTGCATCCACTCTTTGCGCCGCAGATAAGAGAGACATCAAGTTGCCTGGGAGATTATCTGGTGCTGCAAAATTCGCTACACGAACGCGAAGCGGGCTCTGGAACGACGAGTCGGACAGACCAACGACGGCACGACTTTCGTGAATCTACGTTGGCGCGCGCTTGAAATTTCTCAGTAGCGCTACGACACTCGTAAGCGAAGGTACGTCTCTGTATTTCGAAAACATCGCGAAAAGGCGGCTTTGGGTATTGTTTTTAAGAGTTTTAAACTGTGAAAATTATTGGATATATTGTGACTTTGTTTTTTTGGTGATTTCCCTGGGATTTATAGTTGTTTTAATGTGTTTTATGGTGTAGTTTGTTGTAATGACATGTGAATTTTTTATTTGGTTTAAATATAGTTAGTCTAATTAGTGCTAACAATGGTTGACAACAGCTCAATTATAGAAGGAAGTGTTAAATTTAGGGATGGAAAGAAGGTAAATATTATATTTATTCAACAAATAAAAAAACTGCTAACAGATTTCTATGCACTTTTATTAAATAGCAAAACATTGCAATTAAATAAATTAACAAACATATTATTAATAATAAATTCTCTATATACTGTACAAAAACAAATTTATTATGAGAACTTGGGACTGCAAAAACGTTAATTTATGCGATGGGTCAAATAATACTTTATTGTATTGTATTTTAAATTAAAAATAACGTTAATTAATTAAATTTCGTATATAAAATGTATGTATATTTACAAAGACATTTGCATATATTTAGTATGGTTGTATTATATATTAACTTTTTATAGCTGTTTAATTTTTTTTAAACTTTCCCATAAGTAAATATTTTAAAATATATTTTTTAATCTTATATACTTTTGTTTATTTTTTTATTGTATACACCCTGTCCCGGACGTGCAAAATTAAGCAGTTAAGTCCAAAAAAATTCTAAAACTAAGAAGGGTTGTTTAGGAAACAAAATAAACAAGGCATCTATAGTGGCTATTTGAGGGTGTCGATTTTTCAGGACACATTTTCGTGACAAAATTTGAGGGCTTCGACCCATAGACGTAGACATACCATTTTTAATTAACATTAGCATTTATAATTAATTAATTAATTTTAATCATGCAGTCATAGATAATAAATTAAATATTAAATTTCTATACCTAATTAACAGGGCCACCGAAAGCCGTGTCGGGCCCTGGTATAGAAAAAAATTACTGGTCTTTTCAATGGCAAAAAAATAGCACCGCTAGCAAAACATTTTTAAAATTAAAAATCGCACACGAATTAATTAAATTTCTTATTAATAAGAACTTTTTTCTTATTAAGAAGGATTAGACACTTATGTAAGCGTCGAATAAGAAAAAATGTTCAGAGCACAACGTCTACTTTCTTAAAATGAATTAGTCAATTAGTCAAAAATAACTAATTATAAGTAAAATTTAACTAATTGTCATAGCGAAAAAACAGTCACTAATAATTAGTCAAATTCTACTGAATGAAATAGTCAAATTAGTGGATTTAAATTTAAAAAAAGTTTTGACCCGGCCGGGGATTGAACTCAGGTCTCTCACTTGTCAAGCTGTTGTCATAACGAATGTGGCTATCAGTCACTCTTATAAAAATCAATTTTATTTGTCAATAAATATTGTTCATAATATTTTTAAGTTGAATATATTATTTGTGTTGCTGTTTTGAGCTAAACTTTTTTCATCTTTGTTTGTTTTTATGGGCCATTTAACCATGGAGCCTATGTACATTTAATTCAAATAATACTTTGTTGTCAAAAACTATTAAAGAAATTAGTTACTTTTAACTCTCAGAAATAGTCAGATGGTAACTAATCTTAAATTAGTCAAACTTTAACTATTTACGTAGTAAAAAATAACTATTTAAAAGTTAAAACGAGAGTATATAACGCTGAACGTTAAAGTTCAGCGTTATACAGCCAGACAATAGTCTTGCTGATTTTGGAGTGGTTTACCCCTTGGTCAAACCATTTAAAATAAATGAATTTATGCGGCAAAAATATTTGATTAAAAAATATATTTTATTAGATTTTTTAAATATATTAATTCCTTTTTTGTTATTTATTAAAAAACATTATAACAAAACAATCATAAGTAATACAATCTACAAAACACGTCTATGATTGCTATGATTGCTACAAATTGTTAGTGAGAAGAATACTTACAATGCTTCTACTCATATTATACAAATTTACGACATTTTACAAAGGCAAAATTTTCAATACCCAATTTATATGTAAAAAAAAGTCCGGAAAGCCCTTCTAATCAAACATAATTAAGCAATTTTAAGAAATATTTATAATTTTAATAACCACAAAAAGTTATTAACAAATTTCATATTTTATAGCTGACGATATTAAATAAAAATATAATTTTTTTAAACTGGAAGCCATTAGTGTATTAAATGCAATTCTTAAGAATTTCATTGGCCCAGTAAATCATAAGAAAACGCTCCGTTTTACGCAAATCTAAGAGTTTCTTTGATGAAAATCGTAAATGAATATCGGACCCTTTTAAAGAAATTGCAAACTGGCAAATTTAAATCAACGAACCTGGTACAATTTTACTCAAGTTTACTTGGAAACAAACCTATTTAATTATTTTGGTTGGTAGATTATATTTCAAATCTTTTTTATTACGATAATATTTATATCGGGTTAATACCTAGAATAAAACCTTAAGATCAAGATATCTTTTTTTATTAACATTTCAACCAATTTTCATGTCATTATATCTTAAACCTCATACATATTCAGTGATTTGGAGGTAGATGCATGAAAACAAAAGATATATCTTAGATTTTGTCCAGCTAGACAAAAAATAGATAGAGATGAGATTTCTTTAATCTCTGTACATTTTTATAAAAATACGTTTATCTAGCTTTAAATTGTTTTATGTTAATTTCATGCTCACTGTTTTTTTTTAAGTTACAAAGACATTTTAAATGTCATAGAATATTTGAAAATTCACTTTAAGTCTATAGTATATGTTATTATTCTTAAGAATTCTCTCGAAGTAATAACGAAAACTATTCCAATTACCGATGAATTTAATCGGTTAAACTAGGCTCAGTAGTTTTTTGTTTGGTTTTTCTTGGAAAATGTTGAATGCAAAATAATTTAATAAAATCACGAGACCGCGTAGCGGTCTAGGGGTTTTATTTTTAATTATTTTGCATGAAACTATTTTCCAAAAAGAAAAATCAAATAAATAACTTACTGAGCATAGTTTGACAGATTAAATTTATAGGTTGAGTGATATACATACGTCTAGATTATTTCTCGAATTAAAGGAAACTATTTGACAATTCATAAAATCTGACGTATGTGTCAAAATTTATAAATATTTTTTTAAAGAAAATTCCATTAATTTAAGGTATGTAATAAGTAATAATTGATATTTCGTGAACTAGATAACTTATTTTTTATTGTTTTTTAAAAAATGTTTGTTAAAACTTGTAAATAACACCATAAAATCGTAAACAAAAATCCAATATGGATGCTAAAATTTAATCGCTGTTAAATAGTTCCAGTGATTTAATCGCTTATTTAAACGAAATTTATTCGAAAATTCAAGGCTTTTGATTGGTTCATATTATAATAAGGGAAATAATCAAATTAAAATTTATTAAAATTAGTGAAAATGTATTAAGTCTTAATATTGTTTTTGCGATATTAATAACATTTACAAATTATAATTAAATAATAAATAAATGCATAAACGCGTTCATCATTTCAAACAAAGTTAATTCAATAATATTAATTACAACCCTACAAAATATAAACAACAAATTGTTAAATAGTGTGTAACATTATATTGCGATTTTGTTTAATTTATCTATTATTTATTTCAATTAAAATTTTATTGTTATGTGGTTTATTAGAGCAGAGTTGACAACCTACAAAAATTATTAAATTCCCTCAACACATAAGAAGATATGGTTTAGATGTACGGGATAATAATTTGAGGTTGTTAATTACGAAGCCATTATCCATAGTATAGTTCATTTATTAATTGTCTCTAGTTTCTCCTATACACTATTTAGTTAAATACATATTGAATTATACATTAAACACTTACTCATCAAATCATACATAATATGGTCATCTAAGATATTAATTAATAAGCTTAAAATATTTAAAATTTAAACTTAAAATGTTTTAAAAGAAAAGAAGCGTGAAGATCTTGAGTATGTTAAAACAGTGTTGCCAAACTGAAATCGGCAACACTAACACATGCTATAGCAAAATAGGTTTGTACGAGAGGTGCACTTCTAGCTAGGTGTTGAGGCAATTATTTTGGTCTGCGTGTATTCCTTTAAGGATCTCTAGAAGGTCCAATGTGTTGCCTCTGTTTACATGGTGGATGAGTCCAACGTCCTTCTCCTGGTTAAAGCCGCGTCCGTTGTGTTCTATGTGGTTGCAAAACAAACTTTTCTTGCTGTAGTTTCTGATGTGTTCTGATATTCTTCTTGTTAGAGAGCGGAATGTTTTGCCTAAGTAAAAGGCATCACAGAAGCTGCATTTGAGTTTATGGACTCCGTTTTTGTTTAAAAGCGGAGTGGGGTCTTTGTAATTTGTTAGGTGGGTGTGGAGACAATTAAATGCCTTAAAAGCTATGTTGGTGTATTTTATGAATTTTTTGTATATTTTGTAGTAGATGTTTCCATGAAAGGGTAAAGTGATAAATTGTGTCTTCAGAGGTATTAGTTAGGTTGGTTGTCAAGTTGAGGCTTTGTGCATGTTTCTTTATAAGTTTTTTGTGTAGTATTTTATTCACCATATTTGATTAATATACATTACTTATGTATGTATTCCAAAATTTCTAATAATAATAATAATAATAAACTTTATTGGAAATCCAAATGGCTAACGACTTTCGTCTTCCTGCCAAAATTTCTATTTCTCTGTTAAATGAGGATTTGCTAACAGGCAATGATTTTGTTGTTATATCATTACCAGATCTTTTTGTCGGTTTGGTAACATGTAAATTTTCTGTATTTGTTCATCTTGGTGTCTGTACAAGCACATATATAATTGAAGTCTTCAGCTTGTTTGCTATTTGTAGTGTTTTGGCTCAATTTTTAAATATAAATCTTCATCAAAATCTATTTCCTCTATGACTATATCATTTTTATTTACTACATAAGACAATATTTCCTCTGTGACTATATACTGCATTTTGTTCTTTTACAGGAGACAATATTTCCATTGTTACTTTAGTCACAGTAGCTTTTCAACATGAGACAATATTTGTAATAACTTTTCTTCAAAATCGAAGAACGGCAAAAACAAAGGGTTTGCCTCCTTTTGTTTTATAAAGTTCTGCCCTATTATGTGAACTTTTCTTCTTTATTGTTTTTTAAGCCTTCATATTTTATTTTTTAACTTTTTAAGCACCGCCTTCTTAAGTTTTGTGAGTTGAACTCTTCTGTTAAAGTATTCC